CACACTTCTAAATAACCTGTGAATCAAAAGATCACAAGGAAATATATAAAATATGTAGGATGCTGCTACAGCAACACTAAGAGGAAAATTTATAGCATTGAACCTTTAATAGTAAAGGTCTCAAATCAGTTTCCTAAACTTCTGTTGACTAAATCAGAAAAAGGAGCAAATTTAACTGAACACAAATAAATTTAAAAAGTAAACAATAGTACAAAAAACCTTTTAGAAGTAATAGGTGAGTTTAGCAACTTTATAGGATAAATTTGCTAGTTGGAATATAAAATGGTTACCACCACCAGTACAGACAAAAGTTAACCATATACTTATTTTACGGTTTAGTAGTCTTCTTCCATACTTGCATGAAGACATTTCTCTTCATTTGTCCAAACAGAAAACTGAATATGTGAAAGTATTTAGCAAGGTTTTTCATAATCATATAAATTAGAAACAATTCAAATGTTCAGCAATTTGTTAATGAATAAACAAGTGGTGGTATATGTGTAAAATCAAATACAGCTCAGAAATAAAAAGGAACGAACTATTGATACTCAGAACACAGGTGAATTCAAAAGCATTATACTGACTAATAGAATACAGTCTCATGTGGCTGCATACTTTATTATTCCATTTATGTTGCATTCTGGAAAAAGCAAAACTATAGGATCAGCAGCTTCCAGGGTCTATGGATAATGGGCACAAGAAAACCATTTGGTGGAGGGGGGATGGAGTTATGCCATGAACTAAGTCACAAGTTCTGATAGTGAAAGAAAAGCAAACTGCCCTTTATTTTTCCTTTTAATGGAGAAACCAAATGACTGTTCTGATCCTTTCCATATTTAAAGTTATGAATACTTATAAAATTATGATCATCCTTTAAAATCCTCTCTAATTTGTCAAAGCAAACCTAATCTTCATAGGCAAGGTCATGCTAGCTAAAAGCAGTTTGTGAAAAGATAGAGGTGCCCAATGGGAAACTTAAATGGAGGAATTTGTAGAACCTGAATTGTCAAGAGTATATTATGGAAATTCAAATATATTAAAGCTGACCAAATCACTGAATCTTTCAGACACATTCCCTTTAGGGAGGGCTGGAAGTGCTGAATGGAAGCAGTTACTCATTCTGTTTTCATAGTAGCTGGGCTTCAGCAGATGTACAGATACATATTGTTACAGCAAGACCTTCATATTCTAGTGCTTTCTAAAGTAAACACCTACTTTTCTGGATAATACAAAGGTAGTATTTTCTGATGAACTTGTTAGTTAAAGGTAGCAAAAACTGAAATGAGGGGTGTACTCCAGGAGGAGTGTGAATAAGATCAGAGACCTTATTCTTCAGTTGTGAAAGGATGATTGTCTTTGACTGTGTCAAGACTTAAAGGGCAATGAGCTGACAAACAGAAATCCCTTGGCATTCCCCATGGAGCCATTCAACTGGTTAGAAAAAAGTGTTTAAAATCACAGTATTTCCAAGGATCAGGAAACAAACCAACTTCTGTGAAAGAGAGAATTTAAAGTATAGAGTTTGGTTGGGTTATTTTAAAATGTGGCTCTGTAATGCCTTTTCTTTTATTTTTTTCCCCATTTTTAAAATTTAATTATTTTTTGAGTACAGTTTTCTGTCTATTTCTCTCATCCCAGCCCACCCTGTCCTGTGCTCCCCACCTCCTTCCCATTTCCACCCCCCTTAGTTATTGTCCCTGTGTCATTTATACTTGTTCCTCTAAATCCCTCCCCTTTTCCCCCTTAAATTCCCTCCCCTCTCCCCTCTGGTCGCTGTCACCCTGTTCCCTTTTTATCTTTCATTTTTAAATGTCTCACATTTGAAAGATCTTCCCTTGGTCCCCATTTCCCTCCAACTCCCAGCACCATATCTGTGTACCTTTACACATATTATCTCCACCTCACCCTCTCCAAATCCCTTCTTCACCCATTCTAATCACTCCATTGACATGCCTGTTGCCAAAGTCATGAATTGGGTCAGTGTTTTCAAATTCAGTGGCCAGTTCCCTGTCCTTAATTTATCTCAAAGCACCATTCAATACAGTTGCTCACTTACTCCTTAAGCTGCTAGGACACTGCAATTTCCTGGTTTTTCTTCCCCTCACTAGCTGATTCTTCTCAGACTCCTTCATGGACATGTAAGTATTGGATGCCTAAGGACACATCCCAGTAACTGTCCCTCTTCTCTCCCCAGTAACATAACTGTAAATCCCATCTATTCACCAATGGCTTCCCGAAGCAGATAATAACAAGTTGACTTATTCAACATGAATTTCAACCCCCTCTAGCTTGATTTCTAATACTGGAGAGGTTATAAAGCTAAAATTTTATGGTTTTTTTCCTTGTAGCTAGAGTGTAGACTTGTGACTTAATTTCCTTGACTCAAGTGCACAAGTGCAAGATTTGGGTGCAGTAATGACTTGGAGAGACAGGGTCATTTTCATGATGGCTGACGCATGTACTTTGTTGGATTTCCAGTGCCCAGTCCCTAATGTTACAGTGGGTAGTAGCACCAGTGTTATTTCCATTAGAACTTTTCCATAGTATGGTTGGACATTTGTCCTGGCTGTCTTGTTTCTGGCTGCACATCCAGATCCTATACTATCTAATATAGAAATTCTTGGAACTATGTAACATCTCATTTCTGTTTAACCTGGCTAGCATGGATTCTGTTGTCTGCAGTTAAGAACCCTCTGCAAAGCCACTCCCACATCTTTATTTTCAGCCAAGCATCTAACTTTAGATTCCTATTTCCAAATGGCTACTTGACATCTATGTTTGGATAGCTAACAAGTTCCTCAATGTTTCCATGTTAAAAATAAATGTTCATATCCTCCCAAACTGGCTACTTCCCTAAATTCCTCAGCTAAGTAATTCATGTTGTAAAACTTCATGTCATGTCTTTTTGAGTCACTTTTTATACTGAATCCCTCTACAAATTCTGTTGGCTCAGTCTTTACAACATTTCCCAAATCTGGCCACTTCTCATAGTCTCCACCCTTGACACTGAGGTCTAATGTAATAAGTTCTTCAGTGATATCCGTGCTTCTACTCTAGCCCACTACAGTCTGTTCTCCTCACAGCTATGGAAGGGTCTTGTAAGTCTTCTCTGATCTGCATTGCATTCCTCTTCTCATCGTTGTTTTTTTATGTGCTATTGTTCACAAAGTTGATCATCTGAATCCCCAATTTAGTTCCTTTTAGATTACTGCTGAATTTAATGTAAGACTAGGAAGTACATAAGAATATTACTTTCAAATGAGGAAAGTTACATGAAGAACGATGAGCTCACCTCAGTATATCAGGACATCTTTGACTCATCTCAGTACTTGTAATTAAAGAAACTGTATTTTCAGAACTTCATAGTTCTTTGACCTTTATTTCATTTGTAATGATCACTTCCTGTTCCAAAGTCCTATTTATTTTGTTTTTCAGTTTTCCTTTTTGTTTCTTTGTTCCTACTCAGGTTGCTATTATTATGATAATGTGCTTTATTCATCTGCAGAAAGAATATAAAATAATTTCATTACTATCTCCATGCCTTCAGGTTTTCCTTCTCCATTCCTTCCAGCACAAAGTCACATAGATGACACTTGTAAGTAATTGTTTTGGTCATGCCATTCTCATGACCAAAAAAGCATCTTGAAACTCTTAGTTTGGCTTCCAAGCTGTTCCACAATAATCCACCCCACCATACATTCAGGTGGCCAGCCAGGCATTTGTTTGAAGGAGGTGCTATTCACAAGGAATAAGAAAATGATGAACTGTACACAGCATCTATAAACTGCATAGTAAATAATGAATGGTACAATCCCAGTGCCCTGAAAGACCTCAAAAGAGAGTGTAATCATCCTTTGGAGTGGCCACCTAAGTCAAACAGATGTTCTAGTTTAGGCCTCTGTAGACAAATAGGGAAGTTGTGAGCCAAGGGTAGACAAGAGGTCACAGATCCTTAGCCTGTTGCTGACTATGGTTCAGGACTCTTGCTAGGGAAATGTTGGGAATGAAATTAAACTGTGGGCTTCCTAGACTAATCTATAAGCTCTGTGAGGACAAGCATCATACAAGGATCATGTCTAGTACCACCTTTTGTCCACCATCACTACTTAACATAGTAGTTGACTGTGAAATATATTAATGAATAAATAATTCAAAAGACAGAAGATTAATACCTTTCTTGGTGGTTATAAAACAGTATCTCTCAACAGGGGTTGTTTCTTCCCAGAAGACATTTGGCAATGTCTATTTGTGGTTGTCACAAGTAGGGTTCGGGGAAGGTACTGGGATTTAGTCGGTAGAGCCAAGGTTACTGCTCAACATTCTACAATGCACATGACAGCTCCCTCAATAAATTGTCATCTGGCCACAAGTGTTCATAGCACCAAAGAGGTTGAAAACCCCTGATTATAAAACATCACTTCACATATCTTTGTCTCTTTCATCCAGCAGTATAAAAAACAACCCACAATTCTAATAGAAGGAAGCAATGATTTTGCTAACATATTTACTCTAAGAAATTTGATTAGTAACATGATATGCCAATGTTTTTGGCAAATGGCTCTGTTACACTAATGAAAAACCTGGCATTGTCCTTCCACTGGTGAAGGTCTAAAAAGACATTCTTAGTTCCAAAAGGAGAACTTGGCAGAAACCAAATATAATTGTGAAAAGCGCAATGCCCTAGGAGAAAGCTGCCTTGAGGAGTAAACTAAGTAGAAACTTAGATCTTCAGGTTCTGGTGGTGACTAATTGAATCCATGAAACACTGTATGTTGAGTGTCAAGTTCCATGGTACTTAAAATGCCATGTCTCCTAGAACTGCCTTCAAAATGAAACTATAATATTCTTTGAAGCTGGGAACAATACAGTCGGCTAAAATTGAAAAGTGAGCAAAAATGGTAATGTTTGCTTTTAGCTAACACAAAAGGTATATATGTAGACTGCTAAATTGCATGATAGTTTGGTCAGAGAGATTAATATTCTCCAGGATGAAAACTCACCTTTGCACTCAGGAAGGGGACATTCCCCATGATGATGACTCCATGTTCTTAAAAGTCCTGGCCAGTGATGGAACATATTCCAGTGTAATGTGCTCTCCTTTCAGGACTCTTCTTGGGTTTTCCAAGTTTTCTTTATGTCAACTTTGCAACCAGAAATAAAACTCACATACCTTGGCTCAGATCACCCAACTAATGCAAAACAAAAACAAAACAAAACAAACCCCCCAGAACTCTTTTAAAAGGTTTGTTCTGTATACTAAAAGCAAGAGTTATACAGTGGATTGGACTCTTCAAAACCTACACATTTTTCAGACACAGATTAAAAAGTGCACCTTTGTTCCTGCCACATAAAAGAAAAGCAAATCTTTGTTTAATGGTTAACAATTTTTGGCAGCTAGTACCTTTTAAACCGCTGCAGGGCCAAGATGACTATCTGGAGAGGCAAATTACAGATCACTTGGACGGGAGATTATGCCATGTTGACCCACTCTGAAGTTTGATTTTAAACAGTGATTATATTCTTATTGTGCAGGCTACATTTACTTGAGCCTTGTTATCTGGACTAAATGGTAATAGAGCAAGCAAATACATTTGTGCAAACATTGAAGTAGAGCTTAGGGGCTGTAAGGAGCCATATAATAGAGTGCTACAGTTTGGATTGAAGGCAAATCTTATTACAACCAAAAATTTATTTTTAAGTATATTTGATTGATGATGTTATTACAGATGTCCCAATTCTCCCCCTTGCCCCTTCTACCCAGTACCAGCCTTCCCTCCAGCAATCTCCCCTGCCTTAGTTCATGTCCATGGGTCATGAAATATAAGTTCTTTGGCTTCTCCATTTCCTATACTATTCTTAACCTCCCCCTGTCTATTTTCTACCTACAGTTTATGCTTTTTAATCTATATGCCTCTTCCCCCATTCCCTCCCCTCCCCCTCCCCACTGATAATACTCTAAATGATCTCCATACCTATGTTTCTCTTCCTGTTGGTTGTTTGCTTGGTTTGTTTTTTTTAAAGATTTAGTTTTTGATAGTTGTGAATTTGTTTCCTTTTTATGTTCATGTAGCAGATATTTTTTTTAATTAGGACAGAACATACCAAGTTGCTTATCTTCAAATCTACACATTACTTTCTGGCTTTTTGTATTACTCAACTGTAAACTAAATAGAAGCCATTCAAAATAAAGTTTTGTCTATTTACTAAGTAGAGTAAAACTTAAAACTGGCATGATGAAAAGTTTATTTGGGTTTTATTCTAAAACAAAACCCAAATTTTATTTGGCTGAAGCTCATAGTTCATATTATGTGCATGCTTGCATGCTCACTTATACGCACACACACCCCTCTTGATACGATGTATTATTAATTCTCCTGTTGTGTTGAGTCCTACTATGAACAAGTCATGTTTGGAACAATGCCACATGAGAGAAGCAAATCCTTCTTTCTAGTGGCCAAATAAAGAACCCCTTCTCATATCCCCACCTCTTTGTCTACTCCACCCTGCCCTGCTCTGGTAGTGCCAACCCATGTATTCCACTGCCAACAGAATCAGTTGGCTGCACTGTCTACTGATGGCAGATATCTTTTAAGTGTTTTGATCTGTGGGTTAAATGATATGCCAATTCTGTATACTTAATATCTGCTTTATAACCCCAAATTGCTATGTGTAATAAAAATATAATTTGGAATAGCTAAATTATAACTTGGGTAAAATCTGAACTAACTTCAAACTATTTCTGAAAATTGAGTGGAACCTCAATTATTTGGAGAAATTAGGGCCTTGGATTTTTTAGCTTCCACTTCATGTCATAAGCAAATTAAGTTTAAACAAAGCAGCTTTTAAAAAGACTTTTGGGGCATTTGAGGATATTTGAACATGGACTAAGTATTAGAGAACATTAAGAAATTATAATTAATTTTGTTACTTGTGACTACATTTCATTTTATTTTTAAAAGTCATTCAGGGCATTCTTATCGAAATATTTAACAATGAAATAAAATAAAATACGAGATTTGCTTAAAAGTACTCCAGAAAAAAAAAGTCATGGTTGTGCTTAATAAAATAAATTGGCAAAATCATTGAAGCTGGGCGATTACTTTATTCAGATTTATTATATATTCCCTCTACTTCTATGCAAGTTTTTTAAATGCTAGGAAACAAATAAGAATAATTACAAAACAAGCTATTTCCTGGATAAAAAAATCAATGTAAAAATACCTAGGATAATTTAAAACATCAAAACCGAAAGGGATCACAATAATATACCACTATACACTTATCAGAATGGCTAAAAACAAAAGAAACCAAAAAAACCTGACAGTATTAAGTGTTGACAAGGATGTCAAACAACTGTAACTCATACATTCCTGGTGGGAATGTAAAATGATCAAGTTTTGTTGAAAAGAGTTTAGTACTTTTGTATAAAGTTAAATATAGAATTCTCATATGATGTAGCAATCCCACTCCTAGGTATCAACCAAAGAAAAATTTAAATTTATTTTCAAACAAAAACCTGTATGTAAATGTTTATAGTGGCTTTATTCCTAATTACCAGAAACTAGAAACAGCCCAAATATCCTACAACTGGTAATGAATAAACAAACAGTGGTAGATTCATGTAATGGAATACTATTCAGCAACTAAAGGCATAGATTACTAATACATTTGTTGTCTTTGGTACAGTGCAAGATACCTTTCTGATTATTATTTTTGTTGATTTGTAAGTCAACCATATCAAAGAAACATGCTTCCATAAAAACATGTAAACAAATGTTCATTACAGAATTATTCATAATAGCCAAAAGGTGCAAATAACCCAAATGTCCATCAACTGAATAGGTGGGCAAATTGTGGTCTATCCATACAATGGAAAGTACTGTTCCACTATAAAGAAGAATGAAGTGACAATGTGGATGAACCTCAAAAGCATATGCTCAGTGAAAGGAATGGATCTTAAATGATCACATATTTTATTATTCCATTTCTCTGAAATGTCCAGAATAGGCAAATCCATGGAGACAAAGTATATTAGTAGTTTCCAGGGCTGGGAGGAAGAAGGAATGGTGAGTAACTGCTAAAGAGTACAGAGTGTTTTTTTATTGGAGCAATGAAGATGTTTTAGAATTAGATAGTGGTGATGATTACCCGACTTTTTGAACATACTAAAAACCAATGAATTGTTCAGTTTAAAGTGGTTAATTTTATGGTATATGAATTATATCTAAATTTAAATAAAAAGACTGAAGCGTCAATAAAAAAGGACCACATTCTTTTGAGGCATATATTTTATAGATCAAGTATCCATCAAGTTTTGGTCTTCAAGGTGACTTGCAATTAATCGTGGCCCTTATGTGTTGATTTTATTATTCTACCTATTGGGGTTATGAATATAATTTGGTTTCACTTTAATGCATTGCCATTAAGAATAGAAGTTGTTTCTACTTTTCATAAAAACATAAAATTATTGATTATCTTTTATGGGTACAGATCAGTCTTCATGAACTGATCCTGATGATGTAGCAAGGATTTAATGTTCATTAATATTTCCTGAATTAATGATTTTTTGGATGAGAGCAAGCTTTGTTTCACTTTAAGAGGTTATCAAATTTCCTTTCCTGTTATTCAGTTCCATCATTAAAAGAATTTTACCTGAATGTTCCTCCAATTTGGACTGAGTAGTCTTAATTAGAACTGAAAACTTTTCCTTAAAACTCTTTGCCAGTTGCATGCAGCTCTCTGTGAATTTCTTCCAGCTAAATATTCCATCACTCTTTTGTTCATTAAAAGAAATTAATTCCAGCAGCTCAGCTTTGTAAACAACTTTGCAATAAAAAACAAGTGTTCACATTCACTGAATGCAAACCATTTTAGACAGGAAATGAGCTTCAGGTTCCAAATTCAGTGCCCGTGTTCCACCCAGGAACGTGATTAGAAAAATATTGGAATGGGGATTGTGAAGCTTTTTCTCTAAATAATTAACTGAAGACTTTGCTGTTCTTTCAAAATTGAAAGAAATAATGGATCTTAAAACTCTTTTCTGTAGTTTCAGAAAAGCTTCATATATGAGGTATTCAGGTAAAAATGAGAAGAAACACACATTACCCTTCATTTGCTGGGATGAAAAAGATTTTGAAATTGCTTCTGTCCACTAAATACTGTTTCAGGCAGCTGATGTAGATGGCAGTGATAAACTTGAAATAAGAAAGCATAGGCTCTAATCCCAATTCCTTTGCTTTCCTGCCATGTGACCTTGGGACTTTATCAAATGAGGACAGTACTGCTTCACTAGAAAAGTTGTCATGAAATGTAATTGATAAATAGAGGAAACACCTTGCGTAGGGCCTGATAACCCCAGATGTAATCAAACTGTAATATTTATTGAGTTGTTATTACACATACAAACCACCATACAAGTGCTAGTGACACCCTGAAGGACAAATCCTTAATATGCCTACCTTCATGGAGTTTGCAGTCTCATGAGGGAACACTGCCAAAGTCTTAGGCAATGGGAACACAAGTTTTCTTTCTTTTTTTCTTTTGGTCTTCATTTATCTGTCTGCATGAGAGCATGAAACTTTATATGGTCATTTTCAAGGATACTACAAGTGAACAGGAATATTTTAAAGTAAATATTGTCACAATTAGACAACCAGAGAGTCCTGATTAATAAAACCACTAAGTGATATTCTCAATTTCCCTAGGAAGATAAGCAAGAAACTGGAACAAATCAAGAAATTCTATGGACTATTTCACCCAGTAAGAATTACCCCCAAAGTAGGGAATCAGCACCCCTTGAAGGAAAGGTACATCAATCCTGCCTTATTTTAGATGTTTGCTTTGTAACTTTTGCACATGTTAATTTCATCAGACCCTGCCTTCCTATTTTATGTAAATGTTAGACTGTAACTCAAAGAGTTTCATAAATTTATCCACAAGTCCTAAAAGCATTGAAGAATTATGTCAGCATCTTTCACATTTATTATTTTTTTCCTTTACAAAGAGAAATCTGGAAATTTACTTTCCTCTCACAGCCAAGGAATTAGAGTGGGAAGTTTTGATCTAGATCAAAGTAGTACTGCTGGTGTGACTCAATTTTTATTAACTCAAAGCTTTGAAGCATGAGGTTGACATTAGTTTGTTTCTGAAGTTTCTTCATTCCTATTCTCCCACATGTCTAGGTACTTACTAGATTCCTGTGTATTTTATTATTTTATGGAATTTATCAATGTATATTATAAATAATGGTGTTCAGCTCCACAGCCCAGGAAATGATTGTGGCTGTGATATTTCCTGTAAAATCTTGGAACATTTTGATAA